CAGTTATTTTCAAAAATTTTATTAAATAACTTTACTATTACTTATAAGATTGTAAGTAGTCAAAATCTTTGTTTTTCGAAGTATTTTTTATTGATTTTTCTATGTTTAAATAAAAATAACTAAAATGAAAGCACTTGTGAATAAAGAGTATTTATTTGTCGATGAATAAGTTTGCTGAAAGTGAATAGGATTTTATAACTATGTGCATAAATATCTTTGTATGCCTGTATGGTATACCGCTAAATTCCAAACATTCCAGAAGGATGACCAATATTCAAAGTGTAATAATTGCCCACCCTTTTACATAGGTGAAACAGAACGTAACTTGAAGATCAGGTTAGAAGAACAACAAAAACTCCATTTCTACATCCATGAACAAAAACAAACACAGTTTTTCTTAACAGAATGTCACAGTACTAAAACGTGAACCTGAAATTAACAGAAGAAAAATTGGAGAAGCTATGTTAATCCAGTCAAACAACCCTATAATTAACAAATATCCAGGCACATCTCTATATATCTTTGATCGTTATTTTCCCAGATATTCCTAATGTCATGTAAATATTTCAAATAACATATTCCCTACTTCTTTTATTTTTATTCACTTTTTGTTTGTTTTCTGCTCAACTATAAATAAATAATCTGTCAATTCACGCGGATTGCTATGTGGATGAATAACTAATCATTATCAATTCTAAAATGTAAATACATCGTTAGATTTTTGACTTAAATACTAAAACTTTCTTTACCGTTAAAACTTGTGTACTTGAGAGTGATCGCACCAGTAATCGAAACGTTGTACGTTCTAAAAACAAATCCTCCTTACTGTAAAAGCTGTAAGTTGTAATAAAATAATTGAGTGAAATAGCTTGAATCACTTGATTTTCAATGTGTGGTATCCAAAGCATAATCAACAAGTACAAGGAAACATTACTTGTAATTGACAAGCCCAGTACTAGAAGACCCCAATAGCTGTCTAACAAAGATGAGCCATACTTGAAAATAATATCATTAAGGAATCTATAGAAAACAAGCGTTGAATTGACAGAAGACTCATCAAAAGTTTGAAGGTCACTTTTGAAATCATGACTTAAAAGATGTGTTGCAATAAGAAAATTTCTGTTAAGAGAGGGGAACAAGACTAAAAGGCTAAAATATGCACAAAAAACACAGAAATTAGATTATGGAACAATGGGCATATCCTCAAGCAGTGCTGGAAAATTGCTGTAAATTGATGACAAGTTGACTGCAGCAAGTTACAAACACATTTTAATCTACCATACTATCCCAAGTGGTGCAAGAATTATTGGTTCAAACTTCATCTTACAACAAGATAATGATAAAAAAAAACTGCTGGAATAATTAAAACTTATTTGCAAAAGAAAGAAAAAGTTGGAATCCTTCCAAACATAGAGTGGCCCCCTCAAGGCCCAGCTATCAATATCATTGTAGCTGTATAGGACCAGTTGGACAGAGAAAAAGTCAAATAGGTGGAGAAGTAACCTCGATGTATCACCTGGTCCATGAATGTAAGGGATCATTGTATATTTTCACCTAGTATGCTCAACTTTAGAGAAATCTTTCCCACAAGAAAGAGCATGTGATACCATAGGTGAATGGCTCAGAAAGGTAAATAGGGCAAGAATAATCTAACCATTCCAGTGAAAAATGTTCTACATGCAGTTAAACTACGCACACCTGTATGCATGTGTTGAGTATCTTGGTGAAACTCAGTTAACTTTAGGGCTATATCAGATAGGTCCACTAGATAACAGAAGATTCGATCATGATATCGATTAAAGAGTAAGATTAAACCTCTTACTAACTGATTCGATGTAGAATGAAATAATGAAATTAAA